TGTGTGTGTGTGTGAGTGTGTGTGTGTGTGTGTGTGTGTGTGTATGAGTGTGTGTGTGAGTGTGCGTGTGTGCGTGTGAGTGTCAGTGTCTGAGGAGTTCATACATTTGTCTAAATGTGTCACAGACGAACGGCTCTGATGAACATGAGGCTCATTTAGAGGATTTATCTCTGTCCCTAAAGCAGTGCTATTTTAGTATTTTATATACTATTACAGTATTTATTTATTTAGATTTGGAATAAGTGTTCATTTTTAAAAATTAAAAAGCTTTTTTTTGTGTGCATTTTTTAAGTTTAAATCTTAGTAATTTTTTTTAATCACTTGTCATTTGTATTAGTTTTTTAAAAATTTAGTTTTATTTCAGTTTTAGTAACTTTAGTACTTAAGGCAGGTGAGTATGCTAAAAAATGAACTAACAGACGTTATCTAGGCATTCTCTAATTAAATATGTACTAATTTGAATACGTGTGTGTGTGTGTGTGTATGTGTGTGTGCGTGTGTCTGTGTGTGTGCGTGTGTGTGTGTGAGTGTGCGTGTGTGCGTGTGAGTGTCAGTGTCTGAGGAGTTCATACATTTGTCTAAATGTGTCACAGACGAACGGCTCTGATGAACATGAGGCTCATTTAGAGGATTTATCTCTGTCCCTAAAGCAGTGCTATTTTAGTATTTTATATACTATTACAGAATTTATTTATTTAGATTTGGAATAAGTGTTCATTTTTTTAAATTAAAAAGCTTTTTTTTGTGTGCATTTTCTAAGTTTAAATCTTAGTAATTTTTTTTAATCACTTGTCATTTGTATTAGTTTTTTAAAAATGTAGTTTTATTTCAGTTTTAGTAACTTTAGTACTTAAGGCAGGTGAGTATGCTAAAAAATGAACTAACAGACGTTATCTAGGCATTCTCTAATTAAATATGTACTAATTTCCAGAATCTGAAGATTGGATAAATCAGGTTCATAATTCTTGATTTTGTTGTCATATTAGAGTAAAAGGTTTTTCTCCATAAATCAGAAAAACTGTCAGCAGACAGAAAACAGACACATTTTCACCATGTTTTTAGGAGTAAACTGCGTTATAAATCAGTGTGAATGATATATGAACAAACCTTCAGAATACAGAGAGGAATAAAACTCTAAAGTTTGCTGTTTATAAGTGAAAAAACTCTTTAAAGATGGAAATCTACAGACGCATAGATAAAGTGCAATACAATAAACACTTAAAAGTGTATGAAAAAACGTTATGAAAACGAAATTTTATTTTTTAAATGGTTTTAGTTAGCAATAACAAAGCAGACACTCACCCTGAGCTGTCCAGTGAAAACCTCCTGTTTGCTTTTTTACTTCCCATCATGCAGTGCGGTGAGGTTCAGGCGGATACAGATCGTCTCTATTGAGCGGCGGCCTGCAGATCTGTGTGTTATATGCATCCATCACATCAGTCTGATCTCACTGCAGATAGTAACAGCTGTGACCACGCCCACGACTGCCCAGAGCCACGCCCACTGCAAGCCACAGCCACTCCCACCAACCGTCTGAAACCTGGAGGATGTTGCTGTCAGGCGGATCTTAACAGCATTTAATAAACTCTGGAGTCTTCAGGTGTTTGTTTGTGCCAGTGCTGCTTCTGGATCATTAGATGTTACTCCCTGAAACACTGTCTGAATGAGCGGCTGCTTCGGGGTCAGATGACGCCCTTGTGTGTTCATTAGTCCCGCCCCCATCCCACATGAGGCCACGCCCTCAGATCAGTGTGTTCTTCAAAAGCACATGACCGCCACACCTGCACAGATGCTATCAGACACACCTGACAGATTCACCATCACTGCAGATGAACAAAGAGGACGTATCAGAGAGAACATGAGATGGATATCATACAACCCAACCAACTTAGGGTGAAATAAAGTGACATGACGTGCAGCCAAGTGTGGTGTCCCATACTCGGAATTTGTGCTCTGCATTGTGCGCGCTTGTTGGGAAATGCTATTTACAGTAGCTCTGCCCACCAATGTCTGGTTGACACTCAATATTAAAAAAGACGCATTGAATTCAACGGCTTCAGTGGTGTAGGCAGTTGATTACTGTTCAACTTTGGGTAAAAGGCAGCGCTCGTCCCTGTCACAAGCCGTCCAATCAATGGGACAAATGCTACACCGACCAACCATCCTACTTGTACAACGACTGAGCAACAATAGAGAGATTAATATTACTGGTTACTGCATTTTTATATTCAGTTATATTCTTCAAAATGAGATACTAGTAATACTGCCGTGAATATTCCACATCATAGCAACCACATCTTCAGCTGGAAAAACGCTGTGCCACCAAAGAGTTCTCAAGCGTTTTCAGAAGAGCACCTGGCTAAAAATGCTTTGATGGACACGTTCATTTGAATATTTATTGTTAGGCATTTGGCCTGTAGGTTCTCTCAAACCTGAGAAGCGAGTCCAGAATATTCCAGTGTTCCTGGACACGTCACTTACGTAGCTGTAATTCATAGTCGGGGATTATGCTTATTGTGAATGAGAATGTGAATGTGCACACGTGCTCTATTTACGAATGATTGGACTTCATTCACATACACATGTATAACTATCTAATCTGATGTTTTCGAAGCGTTTGTGAATCAGGAGGAGAGTTTTCGGGAAGGTCTGTTTTACGGGCAGATTACTTTGAATTTACTCACATATTTACGCAAGTTTCATGAATGAGCCCCTATGTTATTATTCTGTTAATATACAAAAATACTGAGGTGCAAATAGTATCTGCCAATATAAAGTACAGATAGCATAATTACGATTTAAACGTGTTGCAAAGATTGCTGCTGGTCCAGGAAAGCATGGCTGCAATCATGTGATGTAAATCCTGCATGATAGAGGATGCGATCATAGACTGTAACCTGTGAGTGTAATCCTGTGTAAACTACAGGTGTCTCCAACAAATAGTAACCTATAATTTAAAACCTTGTGTGTGTGTGTTTGTGTGTGTGTCCGCGTGTGGATGTGGGGGGCCCGACAAGACATTGTGCCCAGGGGCCTCTGAATTCCTAATACGGGCCTGCGTGCAGGCATGCTAGGAGACGGTGTTACAAACAAGAAACAAATCAGTGAACACAGACAGCACAATGAAACATGAAACACAACACAACAATGAGCGGGAGGTTCTGCTGTCAGACTGAAGATTCTCAGATTTCATGAATAACTCTGTGTGTGTGAGTGTGTGTGTGTGTGTGTGTGTATTTTAGTCTCTTCTGCTCTTAAATGCATCAGTATTTCACTGATAAGCCTTTAAGATGGCAGAGCGCTAATTAGAATGAAGGGGTAATTAGGCTGAGCACACGTTACACACACACAGGGAACTGTTACATCAGCATTAACATGTTACCTGATAACATTCACATCTGCTCTGGTTCGGTGTGCTTCTTCTGCTCTCCAGACGCTCCAGTTCCTCCTTCAGCTTCACCTGTTCCTGCAGCAGAACATCATCATCATCATCATTCTGAGAATAACATGAGCTGAAGCACTGTGTGTGTGTGTGAGTGTGTGTGAGTGTGAGCGTGTGAGAGTGTGCGAGCGTGTGTGTGTGTGTGTGTGTGTGTGAGAGTGTGTATGTGTGTGTGTGTGAGTGTGTGCTTGTGAGTGTGTGTGTTACTCATGAGGGTCTCAGGTCAGATCATGTTCAACAATAAGAGCTGAACTGGTTTGTCCTTTCAGCTGTTCGGCGGCGTCACGCTGAGCACATATGAACATGCAGATGGGTTTTAATGCACGAGCGCTCGTGTTTCTGTCTGAAGAGTGTTTGTTAGTCTGATTTATAACCGATCAGTTCGTTTGACTCAGAAGTGATTCATTATTTAAATGAGAGTCTGTAATGTCTCTCACACACAGACACACACACAAATATGAACTCTCTCTCTCACACACACACACACACAAATATGAATACACACACACACAAATATGAACTCTCTCTCACACACACACACACAAATATGAACTCTCTCTCTCACACACACACACACACACAAATATATTTACTGCAGATGTTTATAAGATTATAGGTTTCTAAATCAGTCTGTATTTATTATCATAATCATCTTTCTACATAAACAATAGAGGATTATGTGTTTGTATGGGAGTAGCAGCACTACCCAGTGGTGAAAATGTGATAGTGATCACGAGTCACAAAAGTGAGAATCAGAAACCGGTGGATTCCACTGGAGTTTAAAATAATCACAGATGATATGAAATATGAAATAACAGACGACACACACACACGGTCTTCACGTCAGTATATCCAGTCGTTCAGTTTTAATACAAAGTCGACATATCTACATACATGATCTGAAATCAATAAGCAGAGAAAGTGAAACACTACTGTGCACCACGTTCACTGATCAGGTGTTGCTTTTGGTTCTTCTGAGTGCTTTCATCATTAAAGGAACATTTGATAGAATATTTCAATGAGAGCAGAATCGCGTCTCAGTGTGCTTCAATTCATGAAGAGAGAAAACCTGCAGATCAGCGTCTCCTTTACTAGGATGAGCTGGTACTACGGTACAGTGATGCTGATGCTGCACTACTACTGACAGAACATATGATATTCTGTCTTTACTGAGATCATCAGCAGCAGCCAATAACCACATTCACCTGGCCGATTAGCAGAAGCATCATTTTCTAAATGTACAGAACGTGTGGATAATAAGTTCAGCAATACTGTGTGGTCACATTAGCAAAAATGTACAGGTAAAAAGGATGTATTGTCCTTTTTATTAGAAGCCCATTTCCACCACAGAATAACATTAAAACATTTTTTTTAAACGTAATTGCAGCTTTTTAACTCACAATTCTGACATTCCCCCCGAAATTCTGAATAAACTCAGAATTGCAAGATATAAACTAAAAATTGTGAAATGCAGTTACAAGATATACATTTTCAATTCTGAGAAGAGAAGTCTGAATCGCAAGATAGAAACGTACAATTGTGAGAAAGAAGGCAGCGTTGTGAGATAGAAAGTTGCAATTACCTTTTTATTTTTTATTTTAAAAACACTTTGAGAGGTAAACTCAAAATTGTGAGAAAAAAGTCAAAATTGTGAGACAAAAATTCGTAATTACCTGCTTCATTTTTATATTCCGTGGCGGAAATGAGCTTCCGTAATGTTCTGGTCAATAGCGTCGTGATGTAAAAAGCACAGCTCACAAGCAAGTCACGTTTAAACCAAGCAGCTTTTCATTGGTCAACGCCGTGAATCCATGAGACCAAGATCTGCACGTGGAAATCTTTGGCCCTCATGCGAATCACGTGGATTCCAGTTAAAATGACTGGAGTTCACTTGTGAAAATCATGGTAACATGGTATTACCGTGGTAGATTTTGTTGGGTTGAGTCAGTGCAGTTTACCGCGGTGCATCACTGTACACTGTAGATTTGTGACGCAGCGGCGCGACGCTGATCTGAGGCTGATATCGTCTCTCTGCGTGTGCTTCAGCTCGTTTCATTTGACTGATAATGCTGATGAGAAACGTGTGTAATGTCTAAGAACACGTGCGTTTTGTTTGTGAAGGAGCGATACTTCATGACCGTTTCGGTGAGGTTTGGGCTCCGGAGGGCCGCGGGCCGTCAGCTTCCTCTAGAACAATCAGTGCACAGTAAATATCTGAGAGGGATACGGAGCACAACACTGTACATCTGAGCCATGTACATTAGCTGGCCAACTACACCACAGCTCACCAATTATACTGCCATAAAAATCATATAAATAAATAGATCCTTAAAAAATTCAAGCATAATATAAACAAAGCGAAATTAAAAAATCAGGTCGATTAAATATTTGACAACAACGATAAGGCTCACTTCACGTCTCAGGTGGAGATCTCAGATCCGGCGCTACTCCTAAACATCTCCTAAACATCAAACTAAACATGACGGAAAGAGTTTCGTCGGGTTCATCTGATCGAGGGAGAATGCAACCATCTCAGAAGATCTTTCTAGCGTTTGACGCGTGGCTGGAAATACTGGGGAATCAGCTCGTTTCATTTGACTGATAATGCTGATGAGAAACGTGTGTAATGTCTAAGAACACGTGCGTTTTGTTTGTGAAGGAGCGATACTTCATGACCGTTTCGGTGAGGTTTGGGCTCCGGAGGGCCGCGGGCCGTCAGCTTCCTCTAGAACAATCAGTGCACAGTAAATATCTGAGAGGGATACGGAGCACAACACTGTACATCTGAGCCATGTACATTAGCTGGCCAACTACACCACAGCTCACCAATTATACTGCCATAAAAATCATATAAATAAATAGATCCTTAAAAAATTCAAGCATAATATAAACAAAGCGAAATTAAAAAATCAGGTCGATTAAATATTTGACAACAACGATAAGGCTCACTTCACGTCTCAGGTGGAGATCTCAGAACCGGCTCGCTTCCGGCGCTACTCCTAAACATCACGCCTGCGCTAAACTAAACATGACGGGAAGAGTTTCGTCGGGTTCATCTGATCGAGGGAGAATGCAACCATCTCAGAAGATCTTTCTAGCGTTTGACGCGTGGCTGGAAATACTGGGGAATGAATCTCACGATTCCTGTAAAACGTGCATTTATCTGTGAACCCAATAACCGAGGCTCTTCCGTCGTCCCACCATAAAGACACAGCGGAGTACATTATGCCACAGCAGAAAGGAGCAAAAGAACATGATACACATATGAGATTCAAGCCTCGAAAACACCCTCGGCCTCCAAACACGGTGTAAGCAGCATATAGTCATGTAGAGACACACCGAATACAGTATTCACAGAGTTCAGTCCGTCTCGTGCACAGCGTCCGAGGATCAGAGATTATATCACGTGTGCTAATGTACGGCGTTGGCTGCGGTCGCTCCGTTAGGCACAGAAGGTAGATCTGCTTCCGTTCTGCGGCGCCGACGCGTTTGTTTGGGATGGCAACGATGACTCTAGCAGGCACAGACGGGCTCGCGCTCATTCACGTCTGACGTTGGCAAACAGTTCGAAGAAACTCCCACTGAGGGGTGCAGCAATTATCCAGGCTTTTGATTTCATAGTTTCTTTTTTTCTTGTTGTTTTGCTTTAAATAGATTGTGTACATGTAATATTTTCCTGTTGTTATGAAGAAGATCTTCATCCATAGTTTAATATTTCTAAAAAGCCGACCACAACATTAATATCAATATTTGAACACTGAGGTAAATGTTTGCGTCTCCTGGAGCTCCTGTTTCACGTGTCGTCGTCGGTCCTCTGCGGGTGTTTGTGGGGTTGTTGGGGGGGAAGGTTTTGTACAGGTTGGCATTCTTCTTATGTTGCATAGTGATCAAAACTTCCAAGGTACTCCAGAGCGGCCTGATAGCTGAACTGATACTCATCCTGAGAACAGACAGATGGGAAGATGTGATTAAAAAAATAATAAGCTGATTTTTGCACTTTTCCTATAACAGTAAGAATCACACTATTTGCATGAGTGACGTTGTTTCCTGAGAACGACTGAGATCTTCCACAGACTCAGAGGTCAGTGATAACAGCGTTTGTCGGTCATGTGATGCGTGTTTTACCTCAGTCTGTACCATCGCTGGTCGTTGTGTGCGCAGCATTTTGACGGTCTGGAAGATGTCCACAGCGCCCTCGTAACGCATCCGCTCCAGGACGATACTGAGGGTGATGAAGACACCCGTACGCCCGACACCCGCACTGAGAGAGACATGAATGAGACGAGAATGAGACATGAATGAGACGAGAATGAGACGAGAATGAGACATGAATGAGACGAGAATGAGACGAGAATGAGA